TGTATGACTATCGTAAATAAAAAAAATAATAATAATAGTTATGCAAAAGCTAGTTATACATGTTAATAGTAGTAAATTGGTAAACTACAGAAAACTATTACTCTTTATCCCACTGTAGAGAAAAAATTTATTGACATTTTGGAGTGTTTCTTATCATTAGTTGAAATCATTAACAAACTTTGATCCTTTGGGGAAATGCTAATTGTAAGAAAAGTTATGGTTTGGGAGCCAGAGTAATCAGGAGTACTATATTAATATTAAACAGCAAACTTGTCTAATGTATTTTCTTAATTGCATCAAGCAGTTACGTTATATTTAGTCAAAAGTCTTTACAGATTATTTTTCTCAAGGGAATTTTAGTACTTCCATCAGTCTACATATTACCATCAGTCTGATTTGCTTCCTTTTTAGTGAGGTCACAGTAATGAGATATTAAAGTAAGTACAGAATTACCTCTGAAGAGAACATTGATTTAAGATTTGTACTTCAAATCCAAGGGATAGATAAAAAATATAAATTGTATCATGCAAAAAGGAATAAAGTGTTCTATACGGTGACTGTGTTCAAGTAAAAAAAAAAAACATACTCTTGCTGGAAATAAAGATTTCTAGTTAAGATGGCATAGTAACATTTGCTCTCAACTTATGGTAATTAGAAGAAAAATTAAGAAGCAACCCCAAAAAGATGTATCTTAACTAGATAATAAGGTAATTACGAAACAAAAACAAAATAGAAAAATAAAGTAGTGAGCGGAGCTGAAACAGATGTGCTGAGCTCGCAGTATAGAAATAGGCTCTGGCATTTAGGAGTTCAGTTTCTGCAGGTTAGTAGAAATTAAAGTGTTTCCCATGCACTGTTTCTTCAGACCTGATTAGGTCAATAGTATTTCACTTATCATTCTAACAGAGGCTCTAAGATAACCATTTAAGATGCTGTGGAAGTGGGAACCCTGAAGGTGAATTGGAAACAACTGAATAACCAGTAGTAAAGAGGAATAACCACAGAGGAGAAGGAAAAAATTAAAGATTCTGTACTCACAATGAGCCTATAAAATTCAGCCAACAAAATTGACATTTGGAACATTAATTCATTGCAGGTGAAAATAATTTTATGGAAAAGTCTAAGAATACTATATATTTATGGTGCTACAGAGAAAATTATAGAATGTTAACTGTTAAAAAAGACATGAAATTAGGAGAATATGAAGAAGAACCAATTAGAAATCTTGGAAATTACAAAAGAAAGAAATCAAGAAGCAGTCACTGGATATTAAAAAACGTCAATAGTTGTGATGAACTCTAGACAAAACTGTAAAAGAGAATTTATAAATTGGAAGATTGTAGTGAGGAATTTACCCAAAATACGGCACAGAAAAACAGATACAAAAATGATCCATTAAGATGTATAAAGAGGGGATCCCTGGGTGGCTCAGCAGTTTGGCACCTACCTTCAGCCCAGGGCGTGATCCTGGAGTCCTGGGATCAAGTCCCACGTCGGGCTCCCTGCATGGAGCCTGCTTCTCCCTCCGCCTGTGTCCCTGCCCGCACCCCCCCTTTCTGTGTCTCTCATGAATAAATAAATAAAATCTTTTTAAGAGTTTCATAGATATCAAGACCAAGCATTTTTTACCCACAGGATTAACTATAAGAACTATTTTTTTTAATTTTTTATTTATTTATGATAGTCACAGAGAGAGAGAGGCAGAGACACAGGCAGAGGGAGAAGCAGGCTCCATGCACCGGGAGCCCGACGTGGGACTCGATCCGGGGTCTCCAGGATCGCGCCCCGGGCCGAAGGCAGGCGCCAAACCGCTGCGCCACCCAGGGATCCCTATAAGAACTATTAAAGATGGACCATTTCAAGAGCAAAGAAGGAAACTATAGGATATAAGAAATAATGGTTAGCTATCCTTCTTTCTCTTCCCATTTGGGGAAACCTGCCCTAATCCAGTTACCTCTGACTGGTTGGCAAATTTGTTTAGTCCTGATGCTCAGTGAGGAGGACCATTTAGCTTTCACGCTGAACTGTATCTACAAACTTTGCCATTGTTAATAACAAAATGGGATTTTTGGCTTTCAGCTACTATACCTTACACTATTTGTTTCCTAATTCTTTAGACCAATGCAGGGCAATAAAAAAAGAACACACTAGGGAAGCCTGGGTGGCTCAGCGATTTAGTGCCTGCCTTTGGCCCAGGGCGTGATCCTGGAGTCCTGGGATCGAGTTCCACGTTGCGCTCCTTGCGTGGAGCCTGCTGCTCCCTCTGCCTGTGTCTCTGCTTCTTTTCTTCTGTGTCTCATGAATAAATAAATAAAATCTTTTTTAAAAAATGGCAGAATATTAGGGTACCTGGATGGCAGTTGGTTAAGTGTCTGACTCCGTTTTGTCTCAGGTCATGGTCTTGGGGTTCTGGGATTGAGCCCCACATTGGGCTCTGTGTGGTCAGTGTGGGGTCTGCTTGGGATTCTCTCTTCCTCTCCTTCTGCCCCTCCCATCCATGCGCACGCGCGCTCTCTCTCTCTCTCTCTCTCTCTCAGATGAATAAATCTTAAAATGAAGAGTCTATTTTTAAAATGGCAGAATGTTGACAATTGAACTATTATATTTGTCTGCATATGTTGAACTATAACTTTTTTTTTAGAGATTTTATTTATTCATGAGAGTCATGAGGCAGAGACATAGGCAGGGGGAGAAGCAGGCTCCTCGCAGGGAGCCCAATGTGGGACATGATCCTGGAACCCCAGGATCACATCCTGAGCCAAAGGCAGCCGCTTAACTGCCGAGTCACCCAGGCATCCCCGAACTTTAACTTTTAAAGAAAATTTTAAAAATTTCATTTATTTGACAGAGCACAGGGGTAGGAGGCACAGAGTGAGAAGCACAAATATGTACATCTCATCTTTTGTAGATTTACACCCCAGCCACTATCCTCCCCTTGCCAGGATATGTGTGCTCTCTTCAGGCAGGATAGCTTCCAGAGAGGAAAGGGAGGACTAAGTTTATTTCTCTCAAGTCCAGTCTGGTAAGTTACTTTTTCTTCTCCATGAAGGAGATAATGAGGGAGTGGAGAGAGGCAAGGAATATACTCTTTGAGCTGTGTCAGCATTGCAGTTGAGGTGGAGAAGAGATGTTCTCTTCTGATGCTCCCTAAATTTTGTTCTCTTAACTGATTGGACCAAGCTGACAGCTTAGTAGAAGAAATCAGCAGTTTGTCATAAAACTGGACTGACCCTCATGCTAATAACAGTCTAGAGGGAAAACTAAGTGGAAGCTGCCAAAGAAGAAAAATTGGATGGGAAAGATGAACTGCAAGTTTTCTCTCAAGACTCTTTATGTGTTGGAACGATATAATGATTATGTCAAATCCAATTTGACTCTGTACCAAGATTAAATTCTCTTTCTATTTTCTGTCTCAACTTATGTCCAGCCAAGTTACCCAGCATAGCATATGAGAGGTTCTGCAGTTAGATGGTAACTCATCTAAACTGGATATCCAATGGAGAATATTCAGAGGATATCTGGCAAGTGGCCAGTTGGGGAGTTTAGATTTTATCTTTGTTTTGTTTAATGCTTTTTATTTAAACCTACTTGGTCTGATATTCCTACTTTCACTTCTATCTCATTTTGTTTGAGGTGGACCCCAAATAGCATGGAGTTGGGTGTAGTTTTTTTGTTTTTTATGGTTTGAAATTATTTATATTTGAAAGGAAGTTTGCATTTATCATACTAAATAGTGTCATTGTTCTTATTCTGTCAGTTTATATTGTTTGCCTTAGTCTCTCTTTTTTTTTTTACTTATTTATTCATGAAAAACAGAGAGAGGCAGAGACAGAAGCAGGCTCCACGCAGGAAGCCCGACACAGAACTTGATCCTGGGTCTCCAGGATCACGCCCTGGGCCGAAAGTGGCGCTAAACTGCTGAGCCACCCAGGCTGCCCTGCCTTAGTCTTGTTTGATGTTGCTTTAATCTTGTTTTTCCCAGCCTGCTTGCTGGTTTTTCTTTTTTATTGTCTCTGGTAATTTAGAAAGCAGACATTCTGTTTTTATTTACTTTGTGATTACTTAAAAAAAATGAACTTTTATTTCTTTACTAACATTAATAATACGTCAATATCTGTTGATTCCCCTGAAAATAAAAATCACGTACTTTAGTACCTCCCTGTGTTCCTGCCTCACACCATTTAATGGAATAATTTAGGCTTTTAAAACTATTATTATTTCTTTCTTTACGTTTCCTTAAGGAATACTTTTCACATTTACATTTCCTGATATAGCCATGTTAACTGTATTAAGAACTACTCAGACATTAATTTTCAAGTTTGTCAGGTTATAATTTCCATCTTTGTTTTTTTAAAAACTTTTTAAGCCTCAAATGGGGCTCAGCCTATGACCGCAGGATCAAGAGTTGCATACTGTTCAGACTGAGCCAGCTAGGCACTCCCCATCTTTATTTCTAACATATCTACCCTATACTTAAGTTTTTATTTCTGTTTATTTATTGAATACTAAAGTATTTCTTTGGGTTTTAAAGGAGAGTATGTATCTGAATCTTTGCATATCTGAGAATATTTATTAAATGTCTATTCTGACACAGCAGTTATAATAACTATAGCAAACTTTTCTAAGGAAATGATAGTAATATGCAAAGATGTGTGTATAAATTCATTTTGCAGTATTATTACAAAGCAAAAATTACAAACTAATATATGTCTACAAATAGATTGGTTAAATAAAATAAAATTATTTCCAATAATTATAGCAGAATTATAATAGTTTTATCACATCTTCTAACTGAAATTAATGTAATTATCACTGACATTTTTGCCTGTTACTTGTACAAGTTGTATCATAAATTTAGACCATACAGAGTGAATATTAGTATGTTTAGCTATTAATATTCCACTTGATATATTTTTCACATTTTCAATTGGATTAAATACTAGCTGACTAGATACATATTATTGAAAAAAATTTAAGAAATTTTAATCTGTTCTTTGTAGTCACTCCATGGATTCCTTTGGGCAACCCAGACCAGAAGATAACCAGTCAGTAGTTAGCAGAATGCAAAAGAAATACTGGAAAACTAAGCAAGTCTTTATCAAAGCAACAGGAAAAAAGGAGGATGAGCACGTGGTGGCATCTGATGCTGAACTGGATGCTAAACTTGAGGTAAATTTGAAGATTCTTTGTATTTCATATAAGTAGTTATTATTTGGAATTATGACTGGAGAACTTGCAGATTTGATAATAGAATGTTCAGTTCTATTCATCTGTCAATCAGATCTTCTGAGTAGGTCATATTTCTCATAAATTGATAATTGGCAGAACTGGTATTATAAATTGAAGAAAAAATAATTAAGTAATTTATTTGGCACAAGCATTAGTGTTTAAGCTAAATATTAATGAATTCATTATATTCCTAATTGGGACCGTGTACTCCTTATATATCATGCCGTAATGTTTTGTACTACTTTTACATGAAATCTTTTTTTTTACATGAAATCTTATACCTCACTGAAATTAATTGAAATCAAAGTGAGTGAGGGTTTTTATTTTTTTATTTTTTTAAGTTTATTTCTTATTTAAGTAATCTCTACACCTAATGTGGAGCTCAAACTCAGGACCCTGAGATCAAGAGCTGCATGCTGGGATCCCTGGGTGGCGCAGTGGTTTGGCGCCTGCCTTTGGCCCAGGGCGCGATCCTGGAGACCCGGGATCGAATCCCACGTCGGGCTCCCGGTGCATGGAGCCTGCTTCTCCCTCTGCCTGTGTCTCTGCCTCTCTCTCTCTCACTGTGTGCCTATCATAAATAAATAAAAATTTAAAAAAAAAAACAAAAAAACAAGAGCTGCATGCTCCACCAACTGAGTCAGCCAGTGGCCCCTGAGTGAGGATTTTTATAAGTTAGAGTTTTTGTTTCTATAATTAAGGGATAGAGTTATTTGTAATGCATTTTTTTGGCTATGTTTTTCATTTTAAATAAAAGGAGTAATTCCCATGAAACGACTTTAAACCTACAAGTGTTTTATACTTTTAAGTAATTAAGCTAATTGGAAGAAAGTTTCCGGTATAAACAGAAAGGTCTGGGTTTTTAAATGCAAGTTTACTAATTCTATGTATGTATACTAATTGAAGATACCTTTTATTTTATTTTATTTTTATTTTTTTTAATAAATTAATTTTTTATTGGTGTTCAGTTTCCTAACATACAGAATAACACCCAGTGCTCATCCCGTCAAGTTCCCCCCTCAGTGCCCGTCACCCATTCACCCCCACCCCCCGCCCTCCTCCCCTTCCACCACCCCTAGTTCGTTTCTCAGAGTTAGGAGTCTTTATGTTCTGTCTCCCTTTCTGATATTTCCACACATTTCTTCTCCCTTCCCTTATATTCCCTTTCACTATTATTTATATTCCCCGGGGATCCCTGGGTGGCGCAGCGGTTTGGCGCCTGCCTTTGGCCCAGGGCGCGATCCTGGAGACCCGGGATCGAATCCCACGTCGGGCTCCTGGTGCATGAAGCCTGCTTCTCCCTCTGCCTGTGTCTCTGCCTCTCTCTCTCTCTCCCTGTGTGACTGTCATAAATAAATAAAAATTAAAAAAAAGTTTATTTATATTCCCCAAATGAATGAGAACATACACTGTCCTTCTCCGATTGACTTACTTCACTCAGCATAGTACCCTCCAGTTCCATCCACGTTGAAGCAAATGGTGGGTATTTGTCGTTTCTAATGGCTGAGTAATATTCCATTGTATACATAAACCACATCTTCTTTATCCATTCATCTTTCGATGGACACCGAGGCTCCTTGAAGATACCTTTTAAAGGTATTTCCAAGCAGGAGTTCTATTCTTGGAATATAGTCATTTGTTGCAATCCTTAAAAAGTATAGGTCTCAAAATAGGTCATAATCTACCAAGTATTTTTATCCTACAAAATGTAAACTTATGGCCATTACAAATGTGGAAATAACAAATTAACAAGCTTTTACTATTTGCATTGAAAAGTAGTATTCTGGGATCCCTGGGTGGCGCAGCGGTTTAGCGCCTGCCTTTGGCCCAGGGCGCGATCCTGGAGACCCGGGATCGAATCCCACATCAGGCTCCCGGTGCATGGAGCCTGCTTCTCCCTCTGCCTGTGTCTCTGCCTCTCTCTCTCTCTCTCTCTCTCTCTCTCTCTCTGACTATCATAAATAAATAATAAAAAAAAAAATCTTAAAAAAAAAAAAAAAAGAAAAGTAGTATTCTTAGGATTCAATGACAAACATGGAAAAAATTAAGTGACTTGATTATAAGTAATAAATGTTTTAAGGCTAAAGGAACTGTTCACTATTTCCTTTTTTTTTTTACTGTTCACTATTTCCACATACATTCCCACAGAAGTAGATTTTCCTGTCTTGTTTATACATTGTCAGGGAATCCAAGAATATTTTATATTCCTGTACATTAGACAAATATTTGAAATCACCCAAGTACTTTCTCCCACAATTGTAGTATATTTTCTAAGAGTGAGATAATTTTTCATTGTGTGTATACTGAAATCATCATGTTGTTCACTTTAAATATATTACAATTTTGTCAAGTTATACCTCCCTCACATTTAAAAAACTTTCATTGTAAAAATAAAAAGCAATTGTATATATAAATCTTTCAAAGCCCTATGGGAAAAAAACCAACCATGATCATTTCATCATAGTAGAACACTCATGTTTATATCCTTTTCTAGTATTCCATATGAATTTAAAACAGCTTTTTAAGTCGGTAAGTCCATATACCACATTCATTTCAAACATACTTAAACTTAGGTGGAAAGTTAATGGTTGCTCCTCCATTTAGATTTTAGTCTATCACTGATCTTCCTTAGGTCTGATCACATATCAAAATAATAACAAAATTGTTTCAGAGAGGCAATTCAGGCTAAACGGTGACATCAGAAATTTTTTTGATACTCAAAGGATTAGGGCCTAATACTGTGCTGTGCCAAGGTCTTTGTGAACTAAAGTCTTACAACAGTTTTTCAGCATGGTACTTCATGGGAAGAAGGCTGTCCCCTAAAACCTATTTATGCCACCTCATCTCCCTGGGAAAAACTTAAATTTATAGATGTGTGAGAAGAGTTACCTCATGTGTATAATGTATTCCTAATCTTAAACTTTCATGTGCTTGCTTTGAAATGGGTGTCTACTGGATGTTTTATTTTTTGTTAGCTATTAGCAACAGTAGTAATGAAGGGAAAATTCTAAACAAAAACAATCCAAAAGTAATTTATTTTTGATATTGTAATACATTATTTAATTTTTTTAAAGATTTTATTTATTCATGAGAGACAGAGAGACAGAGAGAGAGAGAGAGAGAGAGAGAGAGAGAGAAGGGGGGGGCAGAGACCTAGGCAGAGGGAGAAGCCGGCTCCATGCAGGAGCCCAACATGGGACTCGATCCCGGGTCTCTAGGATCATGCCCTGGGCTGAAGGCGGCACTAAACCGCTGAGCCACCTGGGCTGCCCTATTATTTAATTTTTATGGTTATTCACTGACCTGTTTTGCTTAGGATAATATTGTAGAAAAGCCAGATTGAAAGTTAACATTTTCTAAAGTTATCTGTACTCTTCTCAATTGGCAGTATTTGAAACAGTTTATATTGGATTTACATTTTTGCTATTTAGGTAGTTTGGAGCTGAGAGGAGGACAGACTTCACAGTTACAAATTTTATTAGGTCCCATGTATTTAGCACCATTTTTTTCAGCCCTGATGTGGGAATCTAAATTTTTTACATCAAAAATAAAATCAACACTGAAGTACATCAAAGTCAAGGAAAATAGACCTAGCACCTATAAAAAAAAGTTCTACTTTCAAAGTGCTTATTACAGATATGTTATATTTGTTTATGGTTCTTTAAATTGTCCTAATAAAATTTATATTTCAAAGGTTTTTCACTCCATTCAAGAGACATGCACTGAACTTCTGAAGATAGTTGAGAAATACCAGCTAAGACTCAATGGTATGAAATCCTAATAATATCTATAAAATAGATATTATCCAATAATTCCCTTTCCTTTGAAAATAAATAATTTACTTGTGTTTTTTAGAATGAAAGATTTAATGTAAAAACTGTAGTTTACTGAACCTATTTTGTGAATGGTTCTTTATGACAAAGAGGTGACAGCAGATAGCAGTGGGAATGGGGAGCTAACAAGTGAGTGGGCTTGAGTTCTGCTGCTGCCTCAGAGGTATTGAGGGACTTCTCTTTCAGTTTGTTTTGTGTGTGTTTTTTTAAAAGAAGGCTCTATGCCCAGTGTGGGGCTTGAACTCAAAACCTCAAGATCAGGAGTCACATGTTATACTGACTGAGCCAGCCAGGCACCCCTTCCCTTTTCAGTTTTTAAATCACTTTTTCCAAGCAATAAACCAGGGTGAAATTAGGGATGACTATAGTCATCTTTCACTTTAAGCTTATAATTTGAACACTTTATGGGCTCCTCCCCACACACTTACTGGTCTTATTGTGATTAGAGGGTCAGACTTCTAAAACTTTGTTGTCAAAGACCACTTTGTTTTGTGTTTTACTTTCAATCTGTTATAAACTGACACTTTTGTAATATACAATAAAAATGAATTTCTAGAAAAATGAAATTAAAGATATGTAAAATATAAGCACACTTTTTTATTATTAGATTCAACAGATATAGTCAAATTAGTAAAAGTTTCTAAACAGCTTTGTTTAGTTTTGGTACTTGTCACAGGCCAGTGACAAATGCTTCTGGACTGGAATTGGTCAGTAGACCGCACTCTGAGTAGTAGTGTACTACATGACAACTTATAGGGTTTCAGCAGTAAAATTGTAGATGTCTGTGAGCCTGAAATACTAAGCATAGGCCACTGAAGCCACGGTGGAAGTCAAGATTAAGTTTAGTTTAAATAGGAAACAAATACTTTGTAAGAGGCAATGATAAAATGCATGTCTGCACATTTGGAAATGTATCATTTGTGGTTTTGTCATTTTGGAATTTTTTTTTCCACTAAAGATCAGTCTTTCCTGAAGCAAGGTCCATGAATTCACTACGTTAGAACCATCTGGAATACTTGTGGGTAGGGGGAAGCAGATCCTCAGACCTATGAAATCAGAATCTCTGGAAATGGAGCTCCAGGAATTTGCATTTTTAAAATAAGCCTTTCCTTCCCCCAAGTAATTCTTGTGTATAGTGAATTATTGCTGTGAGAATTTTAGTTGTGTGTTTTAAACAAATGGTGAAATGAAACAGTTAACTATACTGTAATTTTTTTTCTAGTTATATCAGAGGAAGAAAACGAACTAGGGCTCTTTTTAAAGTTTCAAGCAGAACGGGATATGACACAAGCTGGTAAAATGATGGATGCTACTGGCAAGGCACTCTGTTCTTCAGCCAAGCAAAGGTTTACTGTGTTTTACATCATCCTTTAATCTGTAGTCAACATATAGTTTTGACCTATGTATTTAAATTTGCATATTTATAAAGATTACTTATTCTAGTAAAGGGTTAAAAGAGAAATATATTACAGCATATAATTGTTTTGATGCCTAACTTATTTTGTATGTAAAAGAATTACTTAGGGCAGCCCTGGTGGCACAGCGGTTTAGCGCCGCTTGCAGCCCAGGGTGTGATCCTGGAGACCCGGGATCGAGTCCCGCGTCAGGCTCCCTGCATGGGGCCTGCTTCTCCCTCTGCTTGTGTCTCTGCCTCTCGCGTGCGCTCTCTCTCTCTGTGTCTCTCATGAGTAAATAGATGAAATCTTAAAAAAAAAAAAAAAAGATTAAGAATTACTTAAAAATTGACATTCTAGGTTGCTTAATTCCTATAAATAGGCTTTAAGCCTATTTAAAATGTTTTTAAAGATTTATTTATTTTATTCAGAGAGAGAGAGAGAGACTGAGAGGCAGAGACACAGGCAGAGGGAGAAGCAGGCTCCATGCAGGGAGCCCGACATGGGACTCGATCCCGGGTCTCCAGGATCACACCCTGGGCTGCAGGCAGCGCCAAACCACTGTGCCACTGAGGCTGCCCTATTTTTAAATTTATTATGGTTTAATGTAACAGAGGCACACACATATATAATATGAATATTTTAATTATTCTCTCTTTTCTTTGGATACTATACTATCTAGGAATACATTAGAATTTTTCCTCATTTTAAGCAGAGGGCATTTTTTCTTCTTAATTATTTGGCATTTATCACTTTACAGATTTTTAACATGCAGATACCTACTGCAAAGAATCTCCTACATTAACTTTTTAAAAAATATTTTATTTATTTATTAGAGAGAGATTGAGAGAGAGAGAGAGAGAGAGAGAGAGGCAGAGACACAGGCAGACAGAGAAGCAGGCTCCATGCAGGGAGCCGGATGCGGGACTCGATCCCAGGACTCCAGGATTATGCCCTGGGCCAAAGGCAGGCACTAAACCACTGAGCCATCCAGGGATCCCTCTCCTACATTTACTAAATACAGCCAAAATCTTTGCGGTTTCAGAAGAAAAATAAAAACAGGTCTTATCAGACCTATAATGATGATGTATAACTTAAGTGGCTTTATTCTGTAACACCACATCAATGCAAAAGCCCATCATTAAGGAAATTACAAAGGGACAATCAATACAAGGCCCTTCAGTGCCACTAAGTCAAAAAGCAGACCAGAGGAGCTGGGTTTGATTTGTGTTTCTTAAATCCTTGGTTTTTTTTGTCCTCATCTTCAGCTGCTAAGAACTCAATACTCATTAGTTCTTCTAGCATTTTATCTGCTTTTCTATACCTAATTTGTCACATGAAAGGCTTTCTATTTATCTAGGATTATGCTTTGTGAATACAGGATCTCTTTTACCCATCAAACTCTTTTCTAAATGCAGATTTACTTGGCAGGTTATTTATACATGGATTAATATCCAAAATGTTGCAAAATTATGTATTTCTTAGAATAAGAAAAGGGAGAAATACAGACACGTTATTATTAACAATTCAAGGTTGGCTGTATGATCTTTATTTGCTTTCTAAAGTTCCTTAGGCACCTTAATAATTTCCTGTTTTATGGACTCATCTTGACAGCAGATATGCTGATATGCTTTATGGTTTTAAACCTTTGTTTTTATTTGTTTTGTTCATGGGATGTACATCCCTCTGATTTTTACCTCTCCATCATTAGATTGGCCCTGTATACGCCTCTGTCTCGTCTTAAGCAAGAAGTAGCAACTTTCAGTCAGAGGGCAGTATCTGATACCTTGATGACAATTAATCGGATGGAGCAAGCACGCACAGAATACAGAGGAGCCCTGCTGTGGATGAAAGATGTATCCCAAGAACTGGACCCAGACACCCTAAAACAAATGGAAAAGTTCAGAAAAGTATGAAAATAAATACAACCTTTTCCTTTTCTTGATACACATACCCATTGAACTTATATAGAATAATTTAATCAAGACCATAAAATATCAAGCTATTTTCAAAACACGTTATATTATAAATTCTTGGTTCCTTGGAGATCTTTGAAGTACAAAAACTTTTTACACTTTTTTTTAACTCTTTGACATCCCTACTCCATCAACGTTTTCCATTAATTTTTTTTATCCTTTTTTTTTTTTTTTTTTTTTTTTTTATGATAGTCAGAGAGAGAGAGAGAGAGAGAGAGAGAGAGAGAGGCAGAGACATAGGCAGAGGGAGAAGCAGGCTCCATGCACCGGGAGCCTGACGTGGGATTCGATCCCGGGTCTCCAGGATCGCGCCCTGGGCCAAAGGCAGGCGCCAAACCGCTGCGCCACCCAGGGATCCCAATTTTTTTTATCCTTTTCATAATAGGTATCCCTGCCCTTTAGATGTTGCTTCCCTGTACTTTTGGGATTTGTTTGCAGGAGGGAAATAGTTTGTTAGTGAGGAATAAATAAATAAGTAAAAATTCAGATAAATAACTTATTATAAGAAAAAGTGAAGATATCCGATTTTTCTTCTTCTACAATACATAGTTTGACCACAGACTTTTAAAGTATGTAAGGACTTATGTTTTTGCTAAATAAACTACTTATGAATTGTATCCCCTAAATTTACCATATATGAATAATAAAATTCACTCTTTTATTTCATATGTATGAGTACATATAATACAAATCATAGTTAATATTGATGGATTCCTTACTCTATACCAGCTGTATAGGTCACAGCAACCTGTTATTCTTTCCACTTTATAATTCTTGACAATTAGAATACAATCCAAGGGAGTTGTTAGACAACATTGTGAATACAGTAATGTCACTGAATTATATATTCTTTAATGGTTAAGTTTATGTTATCTGAATTTCCCCTATGCTTTAATAAAGAAGAATGATTTTAAACTTAATCTGGACCCAAATAGCCCTGCACAGTCTGGTTCCTGGCACCTGTGCAGCCGCATCTTGCACTTTCTATACTCTAGCCCTTTCCATGCCCCAGGAAGGAATATGCTCTAGCCTCTTCCATATTGTTCTGCAAACATATTAAGCTCTTCACCCACCTCCCACACCCAGGACTTTTGTCTTTGATTTTCCCCGAGCCTGGGATGCTCTTCTCAGAATCTTGGCCTGGCTCACTTAATCATCTTTCTGTCCCAGTTCACACATCTTGCATGAGCTCACCAACGGCCTCCCTGATCATCTTACCAAAAGTTATCATTTCTTTTCACTTGTATGTTCTCTTTGCAACTTGAGAGGGTCTTATATATTTATTTGCTACTGTTTTTCCTGTGCCTCCCCATTCAGGGATGGTAGGAAAGAACATTGTTTTGTTCACCACAATATCCCAGTGCCTGGCACCAAATAGATACCTTATAAATATATGTTGAATGAATTAATAAGTGTATTAAAGGTTGAGTATTCATACTTGTGTATAAGAAATATGACAGGCCTATATTTAAATTTATAAATTTATCTCCATGACTCAGAATTATTTTTAATGCTTCTCAACACTTTAACTTGTCCTTTTTCTGTTCATTCTTCTATTAGCTACATATTATCCATCAGTAGTTTTGGATGTTTCTTTTTATTCGGAATCTTTGGGGTTATTTCTTCTTAACTATACTTTCCATTTATCACTGCATACTTTCTCAGCATAAAGATATTTACTAGAAAGAACCTACTGCAATTACTAAAAATAGCCAAAATCTCTACCATTAATTTTGAAATAATAATACAAGGAAAGGGAATTAGTCTTCCTTATTACAATTTCATGTATCTGAAAATATGTATCATGAGCCTGTGTGGTATGTTTATATCTGTATTATCAGTAATAATAACAACTATTATTGTGGTTGCAGGTACAGATCCAAGTGAGAAATAGCAAAGCTTCTTTTGACAAGTTAAAGATGGATGTTTGTCAGAAAGTGGATTTACTTGGAGCTAGTCGCTGCAATATGTTATCTCACTCACTTACTACCTACCAGGTACCCACCTCCATGGTCAGCATGTCCTTGATGAGTGGTGAGATTCCTTTTTAAAAGTTGTCTAAAGGGTATAAAAAATTGCTTTATTAATCAGATTCCTTTGACTTTGAAAAGTGACTCACCAAGGTTATGATAGAGAATCATAGAATTCTAGGCTGAAAAAGGCCTTAGGGATTATCTACTCCTGTATCTTCATGTTGTTCTCTTTGGTGTTCTAGGAGAGGGAGACTTAGGGACTATCTAGGTTCACATAGCAGGATTCACAGCTCATTAACCCTGGTTCACCCAGAACTACTCCACCTTGAACTACATACAGTTTCATTTGAAGCAAAGATGCTGTGGCCCAATAGTTTAAAACTTCTGTCATTTTATAACTGAGGAAAGTGATCCCTAGAATTAAAGTAAGTGGCAATGTTGGGCTAAAAACCTAAGTTTGCTCATGCTGGGTCACGTGTTCTTTTCATTCTGTCAAGTTGCTGTCTCCCACCACTTTCACCTCAGCAGTCTCACCTATGCTTTTATTACCCCAAATCACACATATATAGCATGCAATGAATAAGTCAGATGTTAATTAGTAGCAGTGACTAATTTTAACAGATATTTGTGAATAGCAAAATAGAATAAACTCTATTTACATAAGATAAGAATAATAAACTAAAGGGAGTGGACATTCACTGGGGCTTGTAGGAAATCTACCTCCTTCAGCTCAGTACTGTGGAATTCAGGAGTCAGGAAAGTATGCACTTGAAAATAAAAGTATCTGGCAGTCCATGTAGCATACACCTGAAACACAATAGCTATTAGTCCAATTCTCCTTTATTCTCTCCACTCAGCCCCCTCATTTTGGATAGGAACTTTTAAGCACCAGGAGAATGTCCAATTACTTGATTTGGCATGAGAACACTTTTTTTTGGTCTTTCTTGTGCCATAACTGAAAGACCAAATTTAGTGGCTTATATAATTTTTTTTCTAGTTAGTAAAGGTTTATATATGCTTACCAACATAAAGATTTACACATATACCCCTTGTACAAATATGGTATTTTTGTGCTTTTAACATTTCACTTTTGGACTCTTCAGAAGATGTTCTCATCTATTAGCATTACTCTAGCTGACTCCAGTGTACATTCCAGTGCTGTGTACAGAAGCACATATATGTGCTGATACAGATGCTACTTCTTATGCAGAATTACTATTTACACTGCTTCCTGGTTCCTAGAAATTTATTTTACTTCCTGCTGCTTATTATTCAGCAACCATTCATCTGCTACACTAGTGAGGAAAAATAGCAGTGAAAAAAATTGTAACTGTAGTGACCACCTTTTTTTTTTTTTCTGCAGAGGACACTGCTTGGATTCTGGGAAAAAACTGCTCGATTGATGTCCCAGATCCATGGGGCCTGTACTGGCTTTCTTCCATACGATTTTGTAGCTCTTAAGGTATACTTCTTTCCATTTCTTTTAGAGATATATTATACTTCATTTGGATAACATTGGAACTGTTTTGTTTTAAGCCTAACTTTGAATTTACAAAACATTGGAAAACATTTGTCTGCACTCCTTCAGCCAGTCGTTTTTCTGTTCTTCCCTGATTCCAAGTGCTCCCAGCAATATTAAACAAATACATAAGAATCCTGCTGGTAGCCTCAAGATACTGGGCCGGGGTCAGGGGGGGATAAAAGAGCAAGCAAGAGAAAAGAAAATTAAAATGTAAACGAGGTAAGAAAAAGTTATGGAAAAGAAAAACTTAAGAGGCACAAGCAATGGAAAATGGTCATTGGTTTTGAAAAACAACTAGAGTACCTACCTGACAATTTTAGAAGTTAAAGAAATTTCCTTTCTTTACTTTTATACAAATGTGGTAGTGTAATTCATGATGCAGAAGTTATGGGTGACTGCAGCTGAAGAAAGTACTGTATTTTATTAGATCAGCTCTTTCTGTTGCCTACATGTAAAAGGTATTCTTGGGCTTTTAACATTTGTATGTCTTCCTGTCAGCCTTCTTTGCATATGGCTCATCTAGCAAAACACCATGGTAAATCATTTCTTCAATTTGAGTAAGCTATGTTTCAGTGCCTTTGAAGTTATTCTGCCTTTTTTGTTTTTTCAATAGAGCTTGAAAATGTTACTGTTGAGATTACTCAAGCTAGATGTGGTATCTGATAGATTCATATCTTGCTCCTGTATATTTCTGGGGCATGGTATGGATTTTTAAGTCATGTTCTGACATAGCATCTTCCAGTCTAATAGATACCCTTGTATTAGTCTATGTTTTTTGTTGTGTGTATGTTTTTTTTTTCTATATTAATGCTTCACTGGATAGCATACTCTGTTTTTAGGCAAATTTAACATCTAATTTCTGTTCAGATGAAGTTGAAAATCTTTAGCCATATTTAGAGCATTGCAGTCAAAGTCAGAAACACAGTGTAAGTCTTCTTTGGCATATCACAGACTTGGAAACCCTGTGGCTAGCCCATGTCACAGTCTGTGTGGTTGCCATAGGCGGCCAGGAGAAACAGGGACATGGGGCTCAATTCAGATTACATTAGCTTACATTTCCCATATTTCTCACTTTCAACTATAGAATTATCCCTATTTTATGTTGTTCTTTAGAATTTTTATTCTCATTTTGTTTGCACAAAGAGAGAAAAGTAGATTCCATCTACTTAACATTGAATTTCTTGTCCTTAGCAACTGCAAGACACTCCAAGCAAGCTTACTGAAGACCACAAAGAGCAAATAGAAAGCAATTCTCTCACTGAAAACCTCAATAAGTAAGCAGGCAGAAGTGTGATGCTATGGATACTGATACATGATATATGATGTTTTTGGAAACTGTGGATACTGATACATGATATATTTGGAAAAAGTTTTTTCTCTTCTGACTTACTGAATATTTATTTCTATGTCATTTTCCAATTAATGTTTTTAAGGTTCTTTTTTTTAAGATTTTATTTTTTATTTTATTTATTTATTCATGAGAGAGAGAGAGGCAGAGACACAGGCAGAGGGAGAAGCAGACTCCATGCAGGGAGCCTGACGTGAAACTTGATCCCGGGTCTCCAGGATCACACCCCAGGCTGAAGGTGGCGCCAAACCCCTAAGCCACCAGGGCTGCCAGGTTATTATTTTTTTTAAGGAAGCTCTCCCCTCAACATGGGGCTTGAACTCACAACCAAGAGAGATCAAGAATCAGGTGCTCTACTGACTGAGCTAGCCAGGTGCCCCATTTTTCCAATTAATATTAAACATTTGTTTTGAAGCCCTATTTCTCCCCCCATTTTCAACATGGCAGGCAAAGTTGATGGCAAGAGTACAGAACAGATTGGATTGATAACTCCAAATTCTGTAGTTTGGGAGATAGCTTTGTATTAAGAGCCTCTATCCAGTGAATTCCAAAAGGGCCAGCTTAAAAGAGAAAGGGACAAGTGCCAGCAGCTATGAAACAGAAGCTATTAAAAGTCTGTCTCCAGAGCAACACAAATGAGACTGGGGCTGGTTACCTGAAAATGGGGCTTCTTGTCATGCACATCCTTTAGGTTGCCTATTTCCCTTTTATTGCATCTCACCTTTGATTTCATTTCAGAGCTGCCACTTCTCATGTTAACTAGGTTGCACTGAGTGTAGTAGTAACAAACCCAGAAATAAGACCCAAACAGTGACAAACCATATATTGTTGAGTGGAAGGTGATCCAGGATATAAGCATGTCCCTCTTTTCTCTTTGGGGAAATCTAAACAAATTTTTTTGCTAACTTGAATATATAAACAATTTAGGATGTAGATTAATTAAATGTATAGTTATAATTGAAACTTATAAGTTATACATTGACATTTAAAATACTATGTTATATAAAATATATTAATTTAGTATTTTTTTCCATTATCACATTTCATGAAAGTTTTATTCAAAATCATCTTCAGCATTATGAAAACTACCTTTTGAGTTAACTGATTCCAAAGCATTTCACTTTTTCTTCCTTCCAAGTTATTTAAAAACCCATGTGTATATACTGTTACTGGAAATTTCATTCCAAGTCATTAGTATCTCTTTGCTCTACAAGTTTATTTTTGTGGTTTTTTTGCAAACAAATTCTCTGTAGGTTTCCTCTGCTATCTGAAAGTAGAGTGTCCCAATGAAACATTTCATAAGCCAGTACAGTGTAAGGCAAAGAAGTAATTACCATTACTTTTTGTGGAAAAAATTTTTGAGTATTCCTAGACCTAAAAAACAACCTCTCTTAAGCTTTTCAGACATCTTGGCACACATCTTGCTAATGTAGCACAGAATAAATGGAGATGAAGCAAAGATGCACACAGACACAGTTCAGAGCTATAATGGCTTAATGCTGAGATGCTGAGTGTAGTTCCCAGGGAAGGGGCTTGGTGGGGCCACTGCTCTGAGTACATGCTGCCTCTATAAGGGCTTTTTGCAAAACAAACACTCAATACTGTATTTGCTTTTTGCCTTTTTTGTAAAAGTGAAAATTGTCTTTGGATTTCTTCCAGTTAGTAAAGATAGGTACTAATGTAGGTCTTCTATAGAAGCATAATGCAAATTTTTGAATAGCAGGGGATACCTATATTGCTTTCTACATATCTTTAAAGATTTATTAAAAACAATCTCTACTACAGAATTGTGAGGTTATACCTCAAGAATAGTGCCTAAATCTATGTTCAGTTTCTTCGTCTAATTTATAATCACAGATGGATGATATAAATATCCAAAATTAGTATTTACTGAGAATATTTAGGCAAATATATCTTTTTTGCAAATATAACTTTACTGTTCAAAATAGAATAGTCCACTTTTTCTGCAATTCTTCATTCCTTCTATTTAGATCCCAAGTATTCTTGAGCAAATCCTGCAGTGCTTGAAAACTAAACCCCACACTCTGACTTTGGTGACAGATGTTGTCTTTGAGGTGGTACTCAGCACAGTGTCTATAATACTGAATACAGTGCCTCATGCTTCATCAGTACTCAGTAAATGTTGTTGAAAGAATAAGAGATGAAGGATTATTTTCATAGTCTGTAGATCTAGAGAAGAAATGACATTTGTCTCAGATTTTAGATCAATCTACAGGACAATATTTTACATGTCATCTCAGTTAAAAAAAATTTTAACCATATACAACTGTAGATTGTGAGTCCCAAGTATATTTTAACCAAAATTTTTGCATTTTTTGGTTTTTACTTTAGGTTAGTTTTGTCAGATGAGGAAGTGAGCTTGGGAAATGAACCAGGTAAGATGGTAAATTCATTAAAATGTGAAATGATCACATTTGAAATGTCAAAACAGTTTGTCACAATCTTTTTAAAACAGATTGTATTAATATCTACTCATTTAAAAAACATTGTCAATTTACAAATCCCTTCTATATAAAAACTTTTGAGTTAGCTTGCTTTTTTCCCCAGCTTTATTGAGTTAAAATTGACATATAACACTGTGTAAGTTTAAGGCATATGGTGTGATGATTTGATATATGTATGTATTGCTAAATGATTATTACTGTAAAATTAGTTAACACCTCCATCACCTCACATAGTTACTATATATTATATCCTTTGGCGACAAGAACATTTAAGATTTATTCTCTTAGCAACAGTCAAGTGTGTAATATAGTATTATTAATTGTGGTCACCATGCTGTACATTAGATCCCCAGAACTTAATCATCTTTAGCTGGAAGTTTATACTGTTTGACCACATTTCACCATTTTTCCCCTCATAGGCCCTATTAACCAACAATCTACTCTCTGTTTCTGAGTTTGGCTTTTTAAGATCTCACATATAAGTGAAATTATACAGTATTTGTCTTTCTCTAACATATTTCACTTAGCATAATGCCCTCCAGATTCATCTATGTTATTGTAAATGGTAGAATTTCTTTCTTTTTTATGAGTAAATAATACTTGATTCTATTCTACTATATATATGCATATATCTAATATTTTCTTTATCCATTTATTTGTGATGGTTACCTTAGGTTGTTTCCATGTCTTGGCTATTATAAATAATACTGCAATGAACATGGGGATGCAGATACTTCTTCAAGATAGTAATTTTATTTCCTTTGGATATATACCCAGAAGTGGAAGTGTGGGAACATATGGTAGTTCTGTTTTTTTATTTTTTGAGGAACCTCTATACCGCTTTCCATAATAGCTATACCAATTTACATTCCCACCAACAGTGCACAAGTGTTCCCATTCATCCACATCCTATACCATATTTGTTTTCTCTTGTCTTTTTGATACTAACATTCTAACAAGTGTGAGGTGATAGCTCGCTGCGGTTTTGATTCATATTTCCCTGATGAGTAGTGTTGTTGAGCACCTTTCTATGTATGTGTTCACTGTGTATGTCTTCTTTGGTTGGAAAAATGTGTATATAGGTTCTTTACCCATGTTTTCATCAGGTTATTCTGTTTTTGCTATTGAGTTATAAGTTCCTTACATATTTTGGATTAGAACCTCTTATTAGATAGACAGTTTGCAAAAATTTTACCATTCTGTAGGCAGATATGATTGAGTTTTTTGATTGTTGATTGTTCTATTGTTATTTTTTTGCTGTGCAGAGGATTTTTACTTTGATGTAGCCTTCTTTATTTTTGCTTTTGTTTCTTGTGTTTTTGTTGTCCTATGCAAAAAATTATCACCAACACCAATGTCAAGGAGTTTATCCCTAGTTTTTTTTAAACATTTTAAAAATTGAAATATAGATGACAAATATTAGTTTCAGGTATTGAGGGGCGCCTGGGTGGCTCAGTCTGTTAAGCCTCTGCCTTTGGCTCAGATTATGATCCCAGGGTCCTCTGATAGAGCCTCATATCAGGGAAATCCCTGCTCAGTGGGAGTCTGCTTCTCCCTCTGCCTCTGCCTGCCACTCCCCCTGCTTATTCTCTCTTGCTCTGTCAAATAAATAAATGAAAATCTATATTAGTTTCAGGTACACAACACAGAGGTTCAACAGTTATGGACATTATACAATGTTCACCATGAGTAAGTGTAGTCACCATGCAAAATTATTATAATATTATTGTCTGTATTCCCTGTACTGTACTTTCCATTCTCATGATTTATCTATTTTATGACTAGAAGTTTGTACCTCTTAATCCCTGTTACTTATGTTGCCTATACCTCCACCCCCACTCCGCTCTGGCAGCCTCTAGTTCTCTGTATTTATTTATTTTTATTAATTTTTTTTATTTTACTTTTTTAAAGATTTTATTTATTTATTCATGAGAGACACACAGAGAGAGGCAGAGACACAGACAGAGGGAGAAGCAGGCTCCATGCAAGGAGCCCGATGTGGGACTCGATCCCTGGACTCCAGGATCATGCACTGGGCCAAAGGCAGGTGCTAAACTGCTGAGCCACCCAGGGATCCCCAAGTTCTCTATATTTATGTGTCTGTTTCTTTTTGTTGTTGTTTTGTTTTGCCGTTTTTTGTTTTTTTTTTTTTTTTTTGAGTCCACACGTAAAGGGAATCCTGATATTTGTCTTTCTCTGTCTGATTCATTTCACTTAGTGTAATACCTCATAGGTCCATCATGTTGTCATGAATAGCAAGATTTCATTCTTTATCTTTTTTAAAGATTTATTTATTCATTGTTCCAATTTTAGTATATGTGCTGCCGAAGTGAGCACAAGATTTCATTCTTTCTTATGGTTGACTAATTCCATTCTGTATACATGCATGATGTATATTTATAACATACTATTTTAAGCTAATAACTTCAATAGTGTATGGAAACTACACTTCTCTTCCTTTCACATTTTATTTTATTTTTATTTTTATTTTATTTTTTAAAATATGGATTTTTTTAAATTTTTATTTATTTATGATAGTCACACAGAGAGAGAGAGAGAGAGAGAGAGGCAGAGACACAGGCAGAGAGAGAAGCAGGCTCCATGCACCGGGAGCCCGACATGGGACTCGATCCCGGGTCTCCAGGATCACGCCCTGGGCCAAAGGCAGGCACCAAACCGCTGTGCCACCCAGGAATCCCCCCTCTCACATTTTAATTACAGATTTTTATTTACATATTTTATGCTTTAATTACATCTTTTTTATTGTGTATCTAATAACAAATTATTGTAGTTATGGTTATTTTAAATAAATGTTTGTTTTTTTAATTTTTAAACTAGAGTTGAAAGTGATTTATGCACCACTCTTCCAATATTATAGAATCTTTGACTATATATTTCCCTTTACTGATGAGATGTACAAATTCATGCAGTTTTACAAGGTTATTTAACATCCTTTCATTTCAGCCTACAGAATGTCCTTTTAGCCTTCCTTGTAAGGGAGGTCTGGTGGTGGACTTTCTCAACTTTTGTTTGTTTGGGAAGGGCTTTATCTCTCTTTCATTTCTGAAGGACAGCTTTGCTGGGTATAATATTCTTGAGGCTTTGTTGTTGTTGTTGTTTTTCTTTCAGTATTTTGAATATGTCATACGACTTTCTCCTGGCCTGCACAGTTTCTCCTGAGAAATCTGCTCACAGTCTTACAGGGGCTCCTTGATATGTGACAAATCACTTTTTTCTTGCTGCTTTTAAAATTCTGTCTTTGACTTTTGACTATAATTACTATAAGTTGTCTGTCAGTAGGCAGAGCTGCTGCTCATGCTCTGAGGTTGGGAGAAGCCCTTTGACTGCATTTTGTCTTTAAGTGTGCTATGATTGGAATCTCTGGTAAAGGGCTGTGCTCTGAGGTTAGGCAGGGTCAGTAGCTGGGTTTCACTGTCATCTTGGATCAGGCAGGATTACTGAGTATGCTCCTTAGCCAAATGGTGCCGCTGCCTACCCTCTTTTTCTCAGGCAGGGTCATAGGCAGGGCTTCATGATCTGATATGGTCTCAGCCTGTGCTTTGCAATTAGGTAGGACTGCAGAGGCTGGGTTCTAAATCAGGTAGGATGGTGGCTATGCTCTTATTAGGCAAGGTTGCTGGCTACACTGCCTAGTTGAGTGGGCCTCATGCTTTACTGCATGATTGGGCAGGGCTTGAGGCTGTGCCTCACAGTTGGGAGTGAATGGGTTCCCTGTTTGGGTGAAACTGCAGGCTGTGCTTAGCAGTGGGGCATGGCCACCAGCTTGGCTTCAGTGCCAGGCAGGGCTACAGGCTGGAGTTGCTGCTAGGCAGCACTGTAAGCTGGGTTGTGATGCTCACTACTAGGGCCTCCTGGTGAGCTAGGCAAGAGGTTATGCTTCCTACTTGGGAGGGGCTGCTGACTTCTCTTTCTGGGTTGGAGGCAGGATATGCTCTGCAACTTCCCAGGGTCTCAGTCCAGGCTTCCTGGTCAGGTGGAACAGGAGGCTATACTAAGTAAAGAGTTAGCTTTCTAGCAGTACCTAATTAGAAAGTCTATTTACTTTTTTTAGGAAATTTTGATTTTCTCTAAAATTAGACCTTTAAAGTAGATATTTCTTTCACAGGGTTGTATGACTAAGTTTCAGGCTTTTCCTCACACTTAAACACATGTTCTTATTTTTTTTATAAATACATATTATGTATACAATCAGTATATATTCAATCAGTGTGGCTTCAGAGCCAGAAAAATCAGTTTGAATGCCAGCTTTTAAAAACAAGTCATTTATACCTCTCTTATTTTTCTCATCTGAAATATGAGTCATATATTCCTATCTTAAAAAGATATTAAGACTAGAGATAATATTTATAAACTACATAGCATATGATAGGTGTGCAGTAAATGCAAGAGGCATTTTTAAATGAACACATAAGGGCAGCCCTGGTGGCTCAGTGGTTTAGCACCACCTACAGCTCAGGGCCTGATCCTGGAGACCCGGGATCAAATCCCATGTCAGCCTCCCTGCATGGAGCCTGCTTCTCCCTCTGCCTGTGTCTCTGCCTCTCTCTCTCTCTCCTCTCTGTGTATTCTCATGAATAAATAAATAAAATCTTTTTTTAAAAAAGTTAAAAACTTAAAAAAAATAAATGAACACATAAATACAGGTAATACTGATAAACCGTAATAATCATAGACTTGTATATATAACATAGCTTCAAAATATGTTCAAGGACACCTGGGTGGCTTAGTGGTTGAGTGTCTGCCTTTGGCTCAGGGTGTGATCTCAGGGTCCCAGGATTGAGTCTGGCATCAGGCTCCCCATGGGGAGCCTGCTTCTCTCTCTGCCTGTGTCTCTGCATCTCTCTCTGTATCTCTCATGAATAAATCATTTGAACATATATATATATATATGTTCAAATGGTTAGCTTCTT